GAACTGAAGACTTAATATTGTTAAAATATTAATTGTCTCCAAAGTAGTCTACAGATTCTATGAAATTCAACCAAAATGTCAGTAGGACTTTAAATTTTTAATAGGAAGTCATAAGTACTTCTGACTAGATTAGTAAAAATCAATTTTGAAAATAACATGAACTATTCACACAGTTTGAGTTTAACACAGTGTAAAAGCTACAGTATTCAGGACTGTCACATTGGTGAAAGGGTACACACTTAAATCAATGAAACAGGACAGAGATGTCAGAAATAGACCTGCATCCATGTGGTAAACTGACATGACGAAAGTGCAAAGGTTAATTCAAACGAGAAAATGTAGCCTTCTCAACGAATGGTGTGGTGTTGAAACAACTGAACATCCATATGTAGAGAAATTACTGATGAATTAATTTAAAAGTAATAATAGGTAAACCTCACCTCGAACATCATACTCTCTACTGAAATAAATAACCTCAAATTAATCTTAGCACAAACGATAAAATCCAAAAATATAAAACTGTAAGAAATCAGGAGAAAATCTAGCAAAGCCATGATTTATAAAAAGTACAAAAAAAAAAAGAAAAAAACAAAAATGACAAAATGGATTCCATCAGAATTTAAAAATCTTTGGTCTCTGAAAGGTCTTTATGAGAATGCAAATATTAGCTACAGACTGTGATGTCTTATTTGTAAATCTCATATCTGACAAAGAGTTTGTATATGAAATACACAGAGATGTCTCACATTCAACTATCATAATCAAATAAATGGGCAAAATATTTGTAGACATTTGACCATAAATAATATGTGGTTGGCAAATAAGCATATGAAGAGATACTCCATATTAGTATTCATCAGGTGAATATACATTAAAACTATGTAGAAAAACTTATTAGAATAATGAAAATGACAAGACTTGACAATATTAAGTACTTGCAAAGAAAGATCTGCAATGACTAAAACTTTTACATTGCTGTTGGGAATGTAAAATTATACTATAACTTTAGAAAAAGTTCGTCACTCTTTTAAAAATTAAGCATATACTGGGAACCAGCAGTTAACGTAATGGCTATGTCGCTGAATTCCCACGTAGTCGACTGCGGTTCGCGTCCCGGACCTGGTGGCTTAAAACTCATGCCGGGCGTGTGTGCATGTGTGCCCAAGATCTTGAAGGGAGAATGGAGGAGAAGGGATTGCGGCGTGACCATCCCCCCTGGGGGGTGATTTCTCGCTTTCTGTCTCTATGTCTCTGTTTGTCTGGCGAGCGCACGCTCCCTATAGCGAAAACCCTCTCAAAAAAAAAAAAATTAAGCATATACTTACCATATGACCCAGATATAGTACTGTAAGTATTTGCCCAAGCAAAATAAAACTTGTGTGTACACAAAATCCTTTGCATGAACATTTATAACAGTTTTGTTCATAATAATTCCAACTGGAGTCAACCTAAATATCTTAACTGTTAAATGAATAAATCTTTCGTACGTCCATACAACAGACTGCTATTTATCAATGAAAAGTAGTTAAGAGTTGATACCTATGAAAACATTTACATGCATTATGGAAAATGCAAAACTATAAGGACTGAAAATAGATTATAATCCTGCTGGAGTTGATGACTGGAAGAACGTCTACAAAGTGGTAGTGTGACAGAATTTTGGGAAATGATAGAACTGTTCCATATCTTGATTGCTGTGATTGATATATAATTATGCATTTGCCAAAATACGGAAATGTATACCAAAGGAGTTGATTTTCATGTATGCAAATTAAAATAAATGTGAGCTATTTAAAGTAACTATTACTTTATTCTCATGCCTTTGTAGAAACTTTTTCCATAAATATTCTTACTGGTTCTAATTCCAATTTCATTGCAAAATAAACCATTATTTTATTATATATTATCAGGAGAAGTAAACAAACTTTTGGTGTTTTTTTTTTTTTTTTTTGGTCAAATGATATCGTATTTTCTTTTTAAAATTTTCAATTTATTTATCTTACACTTATTCACTGTATATCATTGCAGCATACAAAATGAGTTTTCCCATCCAGAATACACTGTATATTGGCTCAGTCAACGATATTAACATTCATCGTATCTTGAACAAGTAATTTTCCATTTCTTGCTTCTTATGTATGTTGCTCCCCACCCCCCATTCTCTTCCTCTCACCCTCTGGTATTTCCCACATTCCTCTCACACTGTCTCTGGAATCTATAGTTGCTTTCCATGCCCCCTTCCCCCATTTTATTGATTCACAAAAGATCTTAATTAAACTAAATACGTTTTAAATAGTAAGTGCAGCTGATATAGATATATCTATGAACACATGTCTACTCAGTGAGCAGAATGAACATACCACAAAGTAGCACCTAGCTTAGGCTCTAGAGCTTACTGTGGTCAGTAAGTAGGTATGTTTTTGTTAGTTTTTTTTTTTTTTAATTTAAAGAAAAGCAGTTTTAGTTTTAATAAATCAAAATAGAAAATGTTAAGAAAAATTTGCCTAAGACTTAAAGCCAAGAAAAAGTTCAGGATTCTGATTAAACTAAGTAACTACTAAAACCTCAAAACACAGATATGGATGAGGCTAAAATCTAGTAACAAGTACACTGTAATTTTCTTCTGAAACTTTTTTTCCCCTCTCCATTACTCCTTTACCAAAGGGAGGCATAAACTAACTTATTTGCAAAAAAATAAGTTTAGTCTTAATTTGGTCTATTATTTGCACAAAGCCCCTAAGAACACAAATTGATTTAGTTGACTTTGCTGGAACCTTTTATAGAGAAGTTCAAATTAAACTCTCTAAAAAGCTTCCCAAGGCTACTGAGCCAAGTCAGGAATTCACCATCTGACTGTGCCTTTGCGTACCTGTCCTTGAAAGTTTTTTGGTCCTGTCAGGAAGTGACATTCTTTACTTACCTGGCAGGCAGAATAGTTATGGTACCAGGCCATCTTTCCAAGAGCTTCTGTTGGCTTTCTTGGGATCTACCTTAGTTCCTTAGCTTTCTGGTCATATCTTCAGATATGACAATGTATCATAATTTCAAAGTGCTATAATGTGAAAAAATAGACACTTGAAAATATATATGACGTGATATTCACAAATCGGAATTTGTTTTTCATGAAGTCCAAGTCCTAAGTTTTGACTCCGAAAAACTGACAGCAGATGATGGAACCAGAAGCATCACTGATTTGTGGAGGCCTGGGAGTCAAGAGTGAAGTATCCAGTTTCGAATGAAGGATGTGAGAAGTCAGTGAAAGGAGAAGGCAGGCTTTCTCCCTGTGTGCTCTGAAACCCTTCCAAGTGGCACAGGGAAATCGGACATCTATTTAGGGATATGTCCTCTGTCCTGTATAAATATGATTATTTCTCATTAATTCCATGTGAAGATTAAAGCAGATCTTTTAGTCTGTAGAAGGGTTGGCTAGTATAGTCATCTCTTTCTGCATTTAGAGAAATTAAGAGGAAAAACTTGGCATCAAAATTTTTTTGAAGACAACATTTGAGACATTAAGGTAGATTTATTATCTATAAATGTGTCTCCTTTAAGGTAAATAAAACATAGATTCTACTCGAATTAAAGCAGGTTATAATAAGGATGTCTGATTATTTCAATAATATTTCATCATTATTGTCTTGAATTGTTAATGCTCCACTTTGATTTTTAGTACTTTGTTTTGGCCAAATTTGATTTACATGTATATCTTTTTTTTTTTCTTTTTTGAGAGATATTTTTTGCTATAGGGCACACACATTCACTGGAGAAATACTGAGAAATTGCCTGCCAGGGGGATAGCCATACTACAATCCCATCTCTTCTTTGGATTGGGAACATGCACACGTACACATGTGCCTGGTGTGTTTCAAGCTACCGAATCTGGGACTTGAACCATGGCTGACCACATGGGAGTTCAGCACATTAACCACTACGCCACCCGCTGGCCCCTTATCTATATATCTTGAAGAACTTATGAGGTTACTAGTAGATGAGTAACAGTTTTGGCTTTATGTTGTTTACCTAAAGATGAATAAATTGCCACCCACAGTAACTGAGCATTAAAGTTGACAGTTCATGGTGAACCTTACAGTAACCACTAATTTGGGTAAGTACATCATGCTTTGTTCTGAGGACAAAAATACTTGTGTCTTTGGAGAGAAACAAAGTGACAGAAGTTATCACTATTTCAGTTAGTACTTTATAATAGTAGTAAATAGACCTAACTCACAGTGCCATTATCAGCTTTTCATATGTGCTGTCTGTATTTTAAAAGCAATAAATTGATCCAATTTTAAAAAGTGGGAAAAATACTTAGCTTATAATTCTTTTAAGTGAACAATGCAAATCCAAACTGCTATTTATTCAACTATGACTTTAATGTGCTCCCAAAGAGTTCAAGTCACTGTTCTATAAAATCACATGAATCTAGAATGAGTCCTTCAATTTTTACTTAACAAAACTTCATTGTTTGTTGTATATGTTGCATTTTATTCTTGGGGTTTAACAGTATTCAGTAACATATAGTAGATACAGTAGTTCTTCTTTTCTTTTTTGGAGAGGTTTTTGCTATAGGGCGCGTGCGCTCGCCATAAAGACAGAGAGAGACAGAGACAGAAAGCGAGAAATCACCCCCCAGGGGGGATGGCCACGCGGCAATCCCTTCTCCTCCGTTCTCCTCTCGGGATGTTGGGCACGCACGCACACGCGCCCGTCATGTGTTTAAGCTGTCAGGTCTGGGACTCGAACCACCGTCGACTACGTGGGAGTCCAGCGACATAGCCATTACGCTAACTGCTGGTCCAAGTAGTTCTTAGTTTCATTCGATGTCATTCCCTGATAGTGTATACTTATATACCTGTTGAACGAATTTCAACACTTAAGTTGTAATGAGACTTACAACCAAACAACATGGAAAGTGAACTGCAGTAAAAGGTTTTTGTTCTAAAATGATGTAGCATAAATGGAATAAAAAGGCAGAAGATACAGTAAGATTTTGCATGTGCTCAGTATACATCCATTTATTAATGCATATGCCAGAGGATCGCATTGTACTATGCATTTGGAAAAGTCATTAACAAAGCAATTGCCTACCACTTTAACATGAATTAGCCGCTCTCACTGGTCTGTGTTTTCACATCCAACAGCAAATAGTTCTGAGTCATGACACTAATCACTTCTGCTTTTAAGGTATCAGACCACTTTGTTCACAAAATGCACTCGATCGTCCTAACACATTCTTGTTTCTGAATGTGTCGGTAGTCCACTAACAGTTATGACTGTAAGTTACAAGTAGTTTTCTACAGCCAAGTATTTAGGTACAGACTCCAAGAAGACAAACCATAATAATACAAACGATGCAAATAGTCCTAAACTGTGTCATAGTCAAAAATCAACCTAGTGATATTTTTACGTACTAAGCTGTAGAACTGTATTTTGTTCCCCTTACTGCATCTGCTGCAATGTGGGCTCAGAAATAAATTTAAAAATAGTAAGCAATTTCTTCAGACGGTATTTTACATTTTTTTTTTTTTTTTACTAAAGACATGACTTTTGGCTCCAGTGCAATATATAGTAATGCTGCATTCAGTACAAATCATAGGATATGTTTTAAAAGAAAACTTTGAGCCGATTATAGGTTTAGGTAAATAAGGAGAGAGTCATAACTGTCAGAGGGAAAATACTAACAATAGAGTTGCTTACAGGTAATTTTAAGAAACCTTCCATCTCATTTCTCAACCATTAATCCAATGACTTTCTATGGAATGAAATATGGTAAAGCTGAGACATAATGCTATATGGCAAATGCATCAACTTACCTTTTTACATGTGTGATGTGACCTTGGCAGTTGTAAGGAACAAAGTTTTGTCAATATATCAAACATTGTTAACAAACTCTATGTAGCATTGCTTTGTATAAGTTTGCTTTAACAGCATTTCTTCACAGTGATATTTCAGAAAGGTTGGAAACTGGTCAGCATAAAATATTTCCCACCTTTTCTATTTTAATTTGTATGCAAAAATCATCACAATATATCTGCAACTATAAAATTACAAACGCTTTCTAGAAGTGACTGCATTTCTAGTTATGGTAGAAAACGGTGTTTGTAAGACGTCTATAATGAGGTAAGTCTAAAGAAAACAGTTCGAGTAACAAATGCCTTCTGATCTGTGGGCAATATAAACTAATTTAACAAAGGCAACTAATGGACAAACTCAAATTTCACTTGCCTTTAGTATGCTTAATGGATGACAAATTGATAATGAAATGAGATGCACATTTTAAAAGATATACTTGAATTTTCACTTTACATCATAATTTTGGCACTTCATGGAACATTTACCAAAGACCAGAATTGGTATAAAAGTTCAACAGGTTCTCCACATACCTCGTAGACATTGTATTTGAGTACTGGCAAACACTGTAACAGAATGAAATAAACATTCCCATGTATTTGCACATGCATGCAGTAGTCAAACGATTATGGTTTATGGATTCTCAAAGATGTTATCTTGAAGTACTTGGTTCAAGCATTCTCTTCAGTAGATCTGGTTTCAGATTTAAGTCTTACAAATTCTTTAGCCACATCATCATTGGTCCTGTGAGACAGTATTCTAAGGATAGTCAAACCCGTTTCATCCATAGAGATATTTTTCAATAGAGGATACCACGCCCCATAGCTTCCCTTTTCTGCTATGTTCTGTAGCTGAATGACTGTCATTCCGATAATTCGATCTTCTCGGGCAAAGCAGTAATCCTTAACTGAGAGATGAAGTTCATAGGCTCCGGGGCGGTTTTCATTACCCAGAATGCTGTGTGCATTAAAAATACAGATTGTAAGGAAAACATCTGGCATCAACGTGGTTCTAAAATACTGTCGAAAAATGTATACATTGCTCAGCATAAAATGTTGGCTAATAGAGTATCTCTGTATTTTAACCCACTGCATAAATATTTACATAAAAATTACTTGAAAATCTAACTTCAAAACTCCTTTCCCTAGATAGAAAAATATGCTTTATTGTCTTGATGTTATTTTTAATGAACAGAAATGAGAATTAAACATGCTGTACTTAGATTGCAGGTCAGAAGGTGCTGCTAGGAGTTGTAAGGACTGTACCAGGGGGAGGGGTACCTCTTGGAAGAATTCCTATCATTTCAACATCAGTTACTACAATCTCCCTTCTTTACCTCAGACTCCTGGGTAAGCTGTTGTATCTAGGAGCTTTTCTCAGGGGAATATATCACATATACTATCAAGCACTATATACAAGATGGTAAATTCTCCAGCATAAATCAGTTCTGGAAGAGGCTAATGCTTCAATGCCAATTATTTCCTATGGCAACAGTCCTGTGAAATGTGTGGGTAAGGATGGTCTCTGTTACTAACTGCCTAAGGCAACTTGTCAGTATAGAACTCACATTATGTATGCTAGGGATAAGTCTTCCTCTACCCCTTAGTTTAATTCGTTCTCAGATAATCTTGACCTTCTAATGAATGCCTATGTTTTATGCACTTACTGGCAGGAGAGAGGTAAAGTGAGAAGTCACCCCCCAAGAGGATGGTCACACTGCAGTCCATTCACCGCTTGAGATTTGGGGCAGGAGCCAGCCTGATTTTCAAGTCACGGGTCCAGGACTCAAACATCAGTTAGCCATATGAGAAATCAGTGCCTTAACCAGCATGCCACCTGCTGGCCCCAGTTCCAATTCCTTCCTTTTTAAGGTGATTGATGAAACGTTTAATGAGTCAGAATTTCCTTTTCAGGCACTACTGATAAATAACTATGTGCTTATTTTGGAGACAAACAGAAATAATGTGAAAGAAATGGTAGCATTGTAGGTAAGTGTAGAACATCAAAATGTGATAGAAGCCATATTTTTATGAATTTAAAGGTATCCAAATGGTTTTTTAAAAACAGTAGTGGTAGCTCATAGTTTTTACATGATTCAAGTCATTTCTAAAAACCTTTAGAAGGCATTTTAATGGGACCTGTTTTCGTGGCATCTTGTGAGCTGGCTTGATTAGCAGAGAATATTAATGTAATTATTAGAATCATTTGGAGATATATATATATATATAGCATAATAGGTCTACCTTTTTTTCATGAAGAGAGATTTTTTCATGAAGAGAGATTTTAGGGTGTGTGTGCTTGTCAGAGAGACAAAGAGATATAAAATGAGAAATCATCCCCGTGGGGGATGGCTATGCCAGAATCTCATCTCCTCCATTCTCCTTTTGGTTTTTGGGTCATGTATGCACAGGTATCCAGCGTGAATATTTTTTGTTTGTTTGTTTTAAGAGAGTTTTTTTGCTATAAGGCATGTGTGCTTGCCAGAGAGACAGAGAGACATAAAGTAAGAAATCCCCACCCTGGGGGGATGGCCACACCACAATCTCTCCTCCATTCTCCTCTTGGGATCTTGGGCACATACATAATGGGCACCCAGTGTGAGTTTTAAGCCACTGGGTCTGGGACTCAAACCATGGTCAACTATGTGGGAGTTCAGCGATATAACCATTATGCCATCCGCTTGTACCAGTATAAAGGTTTTAATGAGTGATAAGACAGGACAATATTCAGAGCAAAATACTCTGAAAGTTCTATAAAAAAAAAAAAGAGTACAAAACCAAAGCCATAAGAGACTGTTGTAGAGTGTGTTTGTGCAGGTCCCTTGGGCTCTGTCCTAAGTCCCCTGTCTTTTCTGTGTCAGCTCATTGAGATATATATGAAATCAAATAACATCTACATGTAACTACTTATTTGACATGTTCTCTTGGGTGTCCAACAGGCATCTTCAAATTAACAGAGCCAGTCATCTAAGACTGTTGTGTACATAACCTAGGTTTAAAATTTGTAACATAGAAATCCTTGATTTATTGGGCTGTTGGAAAAGTCATGACATGCTTTTTTGTTTTTCTATGCAAAAATGCATCACAACTTTTTCAATAATTTTCTCTCTCATCTCAGTAAATCACTCTCGACCCAACGGCTCAGTCCAAAGACCTAGGGGGCCATCTTTAGTGCCAGATCTTTTCCCTTTGCCCCAACTTGGATCCTGTATTCATCCTTTTTGCACTTTGTGATAGAATGCTGAACTGGAGCACCACATCAAGAGGATGGTTCCTAGTTCTTGTTCCTGCTTGATTTTGGCCAAAAGGGAGCCCCATTTAGAGACTTAGAAGTGATGAGCGTTAGATCTTTCCCTGTGAGTCTATCCTGTGAGGCTACCCTGGGCAGGCTGTTTCCCTCCAAGGAAGGTCACTACTTCTAAGCTGGCTGACTACTTTTCACTTTCCCCATTTTTCCTTTCCTTTCTTCAGGTGCCAATAACCTGGCTCCTCCTGGCCCCAGTTCACATTATTAATCATGTGCTCCTTTAGCACTCAAATCTGTATAAATTCCTCTTTAAGCAAGCTCATCTGCAATTATCCTATACTGAATGAGAATGTAATACACTTTCTTTCACATTCTATCTCCAATGCACAATAAGACCTTACTTCCAGCACTATCCAGAATTGCTCTCCTTATTTCCCTATAACCATCTGCTTAGTCACATCATCTTGTGGGGGTAGTGCAATAGGCTTCTAATTTCACATTTGGTATTGCTTCCCTACAATTATTTCTCTGTACAACAAACAGAATAATCAAGGTGCACATCAGATTGTTCAGCCTCATATGGAACTTCGAGTTGCAAAGCCCTGTGTGATGAACTGCACCTCTTGTTTGATCTAACTCTTAATCAACAAAAATGTTTTAAACAAATATGCCAAGATTTCTCCACCATTGCAGGGCCACCAGGTGGCATGGTTGTCAACACACTGGACTCCCACATAGTCAACTTTGGTTCAGGTCCTGGAGAGGGCAGTTTAGAAATCACACGGGGCATGATTTGTATGTGCTCAAAATCTCATCAGAAGAAGGGGCTGAGGCAGAGGGGATGATTTCTGTTTCACTCTAGTGAGTGTGCACACCCTATGATAAAAAACCTTAAGGAAAAAAAAAAAACTAATAAAATGTTTCATTGCTCAGAAAAACTTCCCTCACCATTCAGATACAGTGTAAGAACTAATCATAGTACTTACTACTGTAATACATATTTTTATCAGATGTTCCTCATCTCTCGAAAAGCAGATACCTTTTCATGCACCCAACACATAGTGTGCATATGCTAGATATCGAATGAATGCTAAGTAAGTATTCTCTTAGCCACTCCCACCCAGATCCCTCAACAACAGTTCCATACAGGCTGTTATAAATCAGCTGCGTTTATGACTTACAACTGAAACGTCTCATTGTACTTTGGTGACCACGTGTTGCTCTTTGTCTTTGTGCCTTGTTTTCTCTTCTTGTCCCCAAGGTTGGGTCCCAGCATACACACTTCCACAAAGGGGCGGAACATTGCTGTGGTCTGCCAGTTAAGTTCATTAATAGCAATGACTAAAACAAAAAAAAGAATACGGAATTTTAGCAAATAAGGGTCTTCCGGTCCTAAGAATGAATTTTCATTTTAAAAAATGATAGTGCACTGATGAAACGTTTTTCAAAAGAAAAATTCTCTGGAGGGCACACGAGATGGAGTTTTTGGCTCTGTGTGGCACTGTTGGTGGGAGAAGTTATCATCTTCCTTTAGCTAAAAACTTGATGTTTTTCTTATTAAAATGTTTATTTGGAAATAAGAGACAATGCTTATCAATAATTTGTTGTGTTTGCTTTCAATATTCATTTATTATTAAGTGGGATCATAATGTATAGTAAGCACTTCATGGAAATCTTTCTATTTCTTCAGCTGCAAATATTCCTCTGCATGAATATTTTTCTTTCTTTCTTTCTTTCTTTCTTTCTTTCTTTCTTCTTTCTTTTTTTCTTTCTTTTTTTTTTTTTTTTTTTTGCTATATAATGCAGGTACTTGCTTAGGAGAAGGAAAGTGAGAAAGTATTCCCTAAGGAGGAGCTTGAAAAACACACTGGTTCACATGTACTTAATATATATTTTATATATATATATACACACACTTAATAATATATAATTAATATAATTTAAAGTAATATAAAAAGGGAACATGGTTCTATTGAGCAAAATGTTAACCCTTAAATTTCACCTTTGAAATTATCTCTGCTTTCACATTGGTATTTTCTATGAGTGGGGCTCAATATAATTTTAAAAATCACAAACCAATTACTAAAAAAAGTAGGTGAATAAGTGAGTAGTAAGTATATACTTAGTAAAGTCATAAAACTGTAATATTAATGTTCAGTGAATATCACAGCACCACCCACAGCAGAAATATTCAAAACATAGTTTTGCAGTTTAGTCACCCACGTATTTAAACCATCTAGGTTTTTGAAATTAACAGTTTGGGTCCCATGAAGAGATTCTGAGTATGTTCTAAAATAATTTAAGACATTTACAAGACACAGATGAAAGTAAAATTTGTGATACATTACAGAGGTTGAATATAATGGCTGATCTGGTCCTAAAAATATACCTTTGACAGTTACTTTGTGCTCGCCAGTTCCTGGAGTGGCAGTGATATCCACGTGAACAGATATTTGACCCACTGCATCTTTGGAGGAACGACCTGCAAAGAAGCACAAGTTTAGTGACCTGAACTTTCATCGTGCTTAATAATGCACATCTTGGGAGCAGCAGTTAGCGTAGCGTAATGGCTATGTCGCTGGACTCCTACGTAGTTGACCACAGTTCCAGTCTCGGAACCGGTGGCTTAAACTCACACTGGGCGTGTGTGCGTACGTGCCCAAGATCCCAAGAGGAGAAAGGAGGAGAAGGGATTGTGGTGTGGCCATCCCTCCTGGGGGGGTGATTTCTCGCTTTCTGTCTCTCTGTCTCTCTCTGTCTTTCTGGTGAGTGCACGTGCCCTATAGCAAAAACCTCTACAATAAAGAAAGAAAGAAAGAAAGAAAGAAAGAAAGAAAGAGAAAGAAAGAGAAAGAAAGAAAGAAAGAAAGAAAGAAAGAAAGAAAGAAAGAAAGAAAGAAAGCAAGCACATCTATGTTCCTACATAAGAGACTGATGCATAAGAGACTTAAAATGCTTTACTGAAAATGAACGGTTCTTTCCATCTATAGCTTGCTTTTGATAAATGTTCACTAAATTGTTTGCAATGCAGTTTGAGGTTTAGCCAACTGGCCCATGGCAATCATAAGCCATGTTATTAAGATTATCACAAGAACTTCCTGTTGCTTTACTGGGAACTTAATAAAGTTCTATTCATAGCTTATGTACAAAGAAGTATTGCATTTTATGCTGTTACTAACTCTATAGCTATGTTGTGACAGAGAGCTTGCCCTTGTGCAGTGCACAGTTAGCAAGGTCCTGTGTTGGGGTCAGACCTGAATTCAAGTCCAACTTATGGCACAGCTGGTTCTCTAGTTTTATTTAGCATCAGTTATTTCATTTGTCAAATGAGGATAACACCACCAACCTCTTTGTGTCATGACATTCCAGTGTGTGAAGGAATGTGGCAGCTTTATATATTCTGAAATAGAATGGACTCTAAGACATTTTCAGGTGAAAAAAAGAAAGGTAAAGAACAACATCTGCATTTGCTTCAACTTATGGAAACATATGTGTTCATAGATGATTAATAAATATACACTAACTATAAAATAAATGTTCAATAAATATTTGCATAAAAATGAATTACTGGGCTTTATATAAATACTTAAAAACTACACAAATATTTAACACATTTAAAATAATAGGCCAAAGCCTTTAATCCATTATATGAATCTATTAGAATTTAATTGTATTTTAGTTTTCAGCTTCTTGCTATTACAAATAGTCTAACATGAACATTAAGTTCATCTACTGTCTAATTATTTTGTTTCTTTTGCTCTGTTTTCTTTTAAAAGTAATTTGCTTTCTTTATCATGCCACAGGACAAATGCCTAGTTTTAAAACAAGGGTACAACAAGAACAAAAAATGTCCCCTCCCTAATCGTTTCTTGTACTTTTACCAGTACAAGATGTCAAACAGGTGTCAAACCACTAAATCTACAAGTTAATACATAATCTGTTATGCTAAAAAAACAAAGAATTTTACCCCAAAGAAATATTTCAATTTTTCAAATATAAAAGAATCTAAGAGAATAATATGTGAACAAACAAAAATCCCTTATTTCAGGTTTTCTGGTAAAGACAAGTAATAAAATTGAAAGTCTAATAAATAGATCCAAATTAAGAATTTTTACAATATTTCTTTAGAAAACAGAACTGGAAGTCCTTCTCCCCCCCCACACTTTTAACTTTAAATAATGATCCAGAAGAATTCCTTTACTTTCATAATTACCTATTATTATAACCATAAAATAGACACAAGAATGTTGATGACAGTTCAGCCATGCTGGATTCAGGACGTTTACAGGTACACTATTGTTTAAAAGTCCTGCAAGTCTATTGACTAAAGCTAGACCGCAAAGTTCACATGATCCTATTTGGTTTATTTTCTACCATGGTCTAAGATTACTACATGGATACAGCCAAGGACTGGACCTCAACTTTCAGGAAAAAAAAAAGACCACAGAGAAGAAAATCATGGTAGCTATTTGGCTCTCCCCATTCATGTCCTGCAACTGGAAAAGCAAAGATAGAAAATACAGACTACGACATTATAGAACTTCGAAAAAGTTGTTGGAAAGTGGCACAGTATACAAGTAAGGTCTCTGGACTTGGTTGTCAAGGGCGAGGCATTGAAAGAGCATACTCGAGAACAAGTATTGATAATGTTTGGTGGTATCATTCCACCAACAACTTTAGAATATCTGTTTGTGATAATAAATAGATCAGTTATATAATAAGGCAGTGTGCTGAATATGTATTCATCCTGTGGAATGAACCAGCACAGAGAGAGAGATACATGATACCATACACAGTCTTTTAAGTTTTCTTGTGTTGCATTTGATTTGTTTTCAAGGCTATCCAGGCTAACTTTTCCCAGGGGTTTCCTTGGAGAGGAGGCTGGTTTGCTTAAACTTTCCTTTATCAAGAGATGATGACTGGCTTTAAAGAAAAATAAAGCTGAAGGTTGTTTGATTTTTTTTCCCCCTTTTTGTTGCATCATTCTGAGTGTTCTCATACAAAACAACAACATAAAAATCACAGCAACAACAACAAAAAGCAATAGTTTTTATTGTATCTTCGGGATGTTCCAGATGTTTCCAGGTAACTCTAATTTATGGACTGTGGTTTTGTCCAGTGAGCAAAGATCAAAATCAAATACTGTCTTTGTGATATGAACGTGTCCAGTTGCTTCTATGAGGTTCACAATCTGCTGCAGAATGTGTCTTTCTCTTAGCGTCATTAACCTTCTGCAAAACTCTTGAAGTGAAAAGTCCAATAAAGCAAAGCAAATCGGAATGGTGAACGTGATAAGGCATACCTAGATGAATTGGTAGAGCTTCACAAAAGGTTTACAGTCTGCTTTTAGAAAGTAAAATATCTTTGACAAATCTCCATGGAAGAGCTATCATTCTTGTGCTAATTCCGTTTTACCCTTTACGCATTTAGGAGCAGAGAAAAAGTAGGCTCCACTAGATGCAGCTCTCTACCCAAGGCCCAAGTCATTTTAAGGTGTGGGAGGAGGGCCTATACATTGCCCCTGGAGACCAGCCCCCAGTCCTGCAGCCAGAAGACAGAAAGAGCAGAGAGAAGGCAGGTCCAATCAAAGGCAGCATTTCACTCAAGCCCTTAATCCAGGAAGTGAGAAGAGGGCTTGCCTTAGCCCTACAAACTAGCTCTCATTCCTGAAGCCACAGGGTAAGAAAGAACAGAGAAAAAGCAGGCCGGACCAGAGGCTCTTCACCCAAGCCCTCTGTCCATTCTAGTTTCACTTAGTGCTTCAATTTTCACTTAAGTCATTTTGAGGTTTACAAGTATGCAATCTTAACAAAAAATAACATGTTTAACCTTACTATTGCTTGCCTTGGCTATTTTATTGGTGTAAACTCTAATGTAATAAGTCATACCACATAGTGTTATTTTCCACCCTTCTCCACTCTGCTTTTTGCTTTCCAAGATAGGAAATCCTGGCAAGAGATTGGGAGGAGAATTAGTTTACGCATTTATCTCTCTTTAGTCTCTGTCCTGTGGGGGTTACCTTTTGCTAGCTGAATCTTGCAACCAAAATTTCCCTTAGGCAGTCCTTGCTAAGTGAACATATCTTTCCTGACTCTGTCAGCTTCTTCTTCCCTTTATTACTTTTGTTCTTAGAGAGGTAACTTTAATATTCTTTCTGCTTTACTCATATCTTGCTCATGTTTTTGTACATAGATCATTTGTTAAATTCTCTTAATCTTAATTTAGGTGTACTGTCAGATTCTTGATCAGTAGAGTTAATTTCAGTGATTTGCTCATAACTTGAATGGAAATCCTTCTAATATTTCCCTAATAATGTTAGGTTTTATTAATTAATGAGATAATCTTTGGGGGACAGGATTTAAATATAAATACTACTTTGCAACTATTTTCATTATGGATCTCATTGCAGAGAAAATGCTTAAGACTCTTGAAAGTTGATCTGGAATTCCTCTTGTAGAGAAAACAGCATCTACAGAGATGGGGATGCATAAAACAGAATTGTATGTCTTGGAAACTACAGATTTCAGTATGGATTGGAGTATAGATGTGGGAATGGTAAGAGGAAATGTGAGAGATAAATCTTTAGGCATTATCCTAAGGCCACCATAGAGTTTCTCTTTTATTAAAATTCAATTTATGTTATTTCATACATTCAAACACTATATCATTTCAGTTTTTACGATGAATTTTCCCAGCATGAATATATTGTATATTAGTTCAGTTAAAGATGTTATCGTCAACAGATAATTTTTCATCTTTGTATCCCTTAAATGTTTTGCGTCTTTATTTCTCTCCTAGATTCCCTTCCTCTCACTCCCCCACCCCCATTTCCAACTCCTCTCACATAGTCTCTAGTGTCCGCAATTGTTCTCCATGCTTTTATATCTTCCCCAGGCCCTACTCCTCCACACACACTACATCTGGAAATCACACCCATATCTTGTGTTTGTACATACTTTTGTCAATCAGTTTCAGTCATAGAGTGTGGACACTTGGTATATGTTAAGTGGAGACATACAATGTCTCTTCTTCATAGCCTGGCTTGCTTCACTCAGCAGTAAACCTTCCATATTCTTCCACTTTCTATCAAAAGCCAAGGTTTTGTTGTTTTTTATGGCTGAATAGTATTCCATAGAGTATATGTGCCACAGTTTTTCAATCCATTCGTCCATACAGGGACATTTGGGTTGGTTCCATGTCTTACCAATCGTGAATAGTGCCGCAATAAACATCGATGTGCAAGCACTTTTCCAATGAAGAATTCTTCTAACCTCCGGGTATATACCGAGGAGTGGAATTGCTGGATCATATGGTAGTTCTATTTGTAGATTTTTGAGGAATCTCCAAATTGTTCTCCACAGTGGCTAGATTAATTTACATTTCCACCAGCAGTCTAAGACAGTTCCCCTTTCACCACACTCCTGCCAACACTTATCATTTTTTGTTTTTTTAATCTTGGACATTCTGACTGGGGTTGGGTGG